CTCCCTCCCTCCTTCCCTCTCGTTGCCTGTCCCACATCTACCCATCCCAATGACTACTGCCTCTCCCCTTTCTCTCCTTCCACTCATTATCAAGCATCCTCTCCTCCTCTTCCTCCCTCCCCCCTCCCAGTCATTATCAAGCCTCCCTCTTCCCTCCCTCTTCCCTCCCAGTCATTATCAAGCTCCCTCTTCCTCCCTCTTCCCTCCCAGTCATTATCAAGCCTCCCTCTTCCTTCCCTTCTTCTCCTCCCAGTCATTATCACATCCCTCTTCCCTCCTTCCCTCCCAGTCATTATCAAGCCTCCCTCTTCCCTCCCTCTTCCCTCCCAGTCATTATCAAGCCTCCCTCTTCCTTCCCTCTTCCCTCCCAGTCATTATCAAGCATCCCTCTTCCCTCCCTCTTCTCTCCCTCTTTATCACCTCTTGTCTGTCACATAAATTACAGGTCTACAGGGAGATCAGGTACTACAGGTACAGGTACAGGTCAGGTCTACTACAGGTACAGGTCTACAGGAGAGATCTCTCTCTCTCTCTCTCTCTCTCTCTCTTTCTCTTTAACCTAACCTAACCTAACCTGACCTTAAATTACTGACCTTTGTGAAGTATTGCCCAAAGTTTGTCATAGGTAACATTGCGTTATTCTGCGTTGACATGTGAGAGGTCATTGTTGTTATCTGGATTAGTCTGTTTACATTCGTGGTCGAGTAGTTCCTGTGTATGGTGGTGGTAGTGGTGGTGGATGGTGGTAGTGGTGGTGGATGGTGGTAGTGGTGGTCGTAGTGGTGGTGGATGGTGGTAGTGGTGGTGGATGGTGGTGGGTTGTAATGGTGATGGTGGAAAATGGTGGTGGAGGGTGATAGAGGTGATAGTGGTGGAGGGTGATAATGGTGGTGATAATGGTGGTGATAATGGTGGTTGTAATGGGTGTTGGTGATGGGTGTTAATGGACCTAATGATGGTGGTAATGGTGGTAGTAGAGGTCTTTTTTTTTTACTTTCTCTTGAGTTATAGCTAATAGATTGAACATAACAGAGTCGATGTTCACTTGTTCTATATGAGTTATTCAGACGAGAGAGAAAAGCCTCATAACAGACCCTAATTTGTTCTTTCTCTGTTATTAATACATCCCAGAATACCTCACAAAACACACACATCTTGTTCTCCTGTGTTATGTTTATAAGAACAGTACATAATATACACTGTTATCCATTGTGTTATTAATACGTTTAAGAACATCTGAACATTTTATAAACAAGATGATAATTAGTGTTCTATGTTGTTGTTATACATGAAATGGGTTATACAAATATTCCAGAACACGAGTACACTTCATAAGACATCTGTTCTCTGTCTATAAACGAAAGAACACGAGAACACCTCATAAGACCTCTGTTCTGTCTATACGCGAGAGAACACGAATGAAACGTCGACTTCTCTCTGTTCTCAATAAACGGTAAATAAACAACGTCTCTGATAATGGCTAACACTTGCTAATTCTCCTCTCTATGTGAACCTTGGAAACGAATAATATTGTTATTTTATTGTTATTTTAGTTTGTCATTGTTATTTTAGGTTGTTATTGTTAGTTTGTTATTGTTATCTTAGTTTGTTGTTGTTATATTTGTTTATAATTGTTATTTTTGTTTAATTCCGTAATATGTTTTCGAAGCTCACAAAAGGTCGGTAAACTTTGTAGAATTTTCCTTAATCTAAAGAAATCTTGTTTGCGTCCAGAAGTATCGTTGTCAAGCAGAATCCTGGAAATTCTCTCCAGTTCTCGCGAAATACTAAACAAATTCGTTAAATTACATTAAATACTGCAAGATCTCGTTAAATCTACTAGAATCTCGTAAATTCCCGTAAGATATCGCCAAATCTCCAGAAATCGCGCTAGATCTCGTAAAATACAGTCATATTTTCTAGTAAGTATCGTAAAATGTCTCCAAACTTTCGTCTTACCAAATAGAGGGGAAACACGCCAAATCTCGCAGGGTATCGTAAAAGCCATTAATCTCGTCAATTATCGTAAGATCTCATAAAATGTCTCGTCTCTTGATCTCACAATATCGTAAAATATATCAAAATATTCCCAAATTTGGTTAATTCACAGAAAATTTAATTACTTGTCATAAATTATTGTTAGTGGGTGTAAGGGAAGGGTGTAGTGGGTGTAAGGGAGGGTGTAGTGTGTAGAAGGGATAGGCGGTTTGTGGGTAAGGGTGTGGCGTTTTAAAGATCTGTTGTTGTGGCGTGTGGTAGGTGGATGTGGCGTGTAGTAGGTGGGTGTGACGTGTGGGTGGGTGTGGCGTGCAGGTGGGTGGAGGAGGGGTGTGGCGTGTAGGCGGGTGTGACCTGTAAGTGAGTGTGGGTGTGGCGTGTAGGTGGGTGTGGCCTGTATCTGGGTGTGGCTCTAGATGTGGCAAAACCCGCATTAAACTCTACGGTCTGGCCACACACATCTTCACCATCACCTTCTTCATTATCACCATCTACACTATTATTACACACCATCACCATCATTGCTCATTATTTGCATCATATTCACTATTACTCACTATCACCTCACTATCATCTTCACTATTATCACTACATCCATCTTCATCATCACATACTATCACCATTATTCATTATCACCATCATCATTATTTTACACCATACCCCGACACTATCTAATAGACCATATTCATTATAATAAGCTGGACACTATACTTGACACACACGCTGCACTATAATGTACAATCTTTATAATAAGAAACTCTCTATGACTGATGCACTTAAGTGGCTCAGTGCCTCAGACTGGTGCACTTAAGACTGAATTAAACTCACTTAGACTTGAACCTCCAGAAAACTACCATTGGCGCTCGTTGAATAAAGCTTGAACCCCTCTTAAAGCTTTCTGGTATCCTATGAGGGATATCCGAACCCCCGAAGACTGCGAGATTTGAACCCGAACATGAGCGAATCCGAACCCAAACCTGAACGAATCCGACAACACTAATAGAAAACAAACGTTGGTTGAGAGAGTATAAACAGTGTTCACGGGAGGTAAACGTTTGGCCAAGCGTTTAGTGTCTGGCAGCAAACACCACTCACTCGGGAGACCAGCTTAGTAAACACACGCACACACACACACATATACATGCATACTTCCTGTACATACACACGCACACTTGCATCAGGTACACACACACACACATACATCTGCTATATATATACACACACACACACACACACACACACAGTTGGTATATACTCCTCTTGATTATGCTTAAGTCGTCCTGATTATCTGAAAGTCGTCCTGATTATCTCAAGGTCGTCCTGATTATCTCAAAGTCGTCCTGATTATCACTGGGTCGTAGTTACTATTCGGAAATGGTTAACAAGATGAAACAAAATATTCCATGAACTATCAATAAAGAAAGTTTTGTCACGTAAATAAAATTAAAGAAAATAAAGAGACGGATAATTAAAAGTTAAAGTCGTGGAAATTACACCAAAAAATTACGAAAGGATATAAAGAAAATTTATAATAATAAAACTTGGAAATAATAGATGAAAGAGAACGAAAGTAAATTAATGATAACAAAAGAATGAAGAAGATATTAATAAAGGAAGAAGAAAATTAAAGATAAATCACATAGATAAAGAAAATCCCAAATACTTCAAGAAAATATTAACGAAGATCAAGAAAAAAAAAATATCCAGACAAGAAAATATTATCCTTCTTGGCTATAACTTAACGATTGGCCTTTTATTGCCCCGCGAGGCTGCCACTTGGAGCTGGTAGTGTGGGCGGTTTACGAGGCAGGCTTGGGCTATACTCACTACCTCGGGGCTACATAAAAGGTGATGCCTCGGTTCATTCTCGGTGTTAAATGAGATCTGTATATGTGTGTGTTTTTGGTGGTTCGTATCGAGTGATGGTGACGGCTGTGGTGATGATGATGAAAATAATAATAGTTAATAGTAATAATAGTGATGATGATAATAATACAGTAATAATAATAACAATAATAATAATAAAAGCAGTAATTATTAAAAAGAAAATAATAATAAGAGTTATAGTTACGATGAAATATTACAGGGATATTACAGTAACTCATAATACAATAACTGAACCTAAACTAACGCAGACCTAACCTAACCTAACCCAAACCTTTGTTAAACCCGACATAACCTAAACTAACCCAACTCTAACTTAAACCGGGCCTAACCCAACTTATACGTAACTGCGGGTTTAGTATGGAAATTTGGGTCCGGTTTCGGGGATTCGTTTTGGCTCCGGAAAGAGTCACTGAATCCTCTTAGTGTGGAGTGTCAACAGACGTCTTGTACACTGGGGTGGGGGGTTGTGGGGGGTTGGATGTCCATTAGAGGGAGGGGGCCACATTCCCCCCCCCCCCCTTTCAGCCTGGGTGGTGTAGGGAGAGGGAGAGGTAAAGTGGGATGGCCAGGTTAGTGGGAGGGATGAGAGGATGGTGGGAGGGATGCGGTGATTAGAGGGATTCGTGAATTAGTAAGTGCAACTGATGACCGAACTACTCACTGTGAACTCCACCCCATTCTCTCTCTCTCTCTCGTCTTGATTACATCTTGGTCGTTTTGTTTATCTCTTCTCAATGTTATCTCTCAACCCCCTTAGTTATCACAGTCTTCGTTATCTCTTCAATCTTGTCTTTTTTCTTTATCTCATACGTTTAGTTTCATCACTCAAGCTTCTGGAGGTGGGCAGAAACAGACGATGACAAGTTACAGACTCACTCTCTACGTACATGTACTCGCTGGAGTTCTTAGAGTACACCCAAGTACATTTAGATTCTTTAGTACTGTAACCAGGACGATGGGAGGACATACAGTGTGTTTTTATTTTCCTTACGTGTACGAGTCGTTTCAAATCTCTCTCTCTTTCTCTTGCAGGCATGAGTGTGGACGGGTGCAACAGGAGGCGCGGGTGCTGGTGAAGGAGGCGGTGCTGGGGGAGTTGTGGTGGGGTAGTGGGGCAGCAGCAGCGGCAGGATGGGGGGCGTGGGGCTCCTACACCTGCTCCTGCCAGCGCTGGGGGCTCTGCTGTGTCTCTCCACGCCGGCACTCACCAGGCTCGTCGGCTCCTGGATGTGAGTATAACACTATGGTCTCCCCAGCACGAGGCGTTGGTGTGTCTTGTGATAATAATAATAATAATAATAAAGTAATGATGATGATGATGATGGAAGGATAATATAGCATATAATATGATTTTAACTTAATAATAATAATAACTTGACGTACTAATACACTGTGGCCAACCTAGGCATGGCCAGATGAATCTCTCCAGTAAATGTGCAGGACCTGAACAAGAGGTGTAACGCTTGTGGTGTGATGATTAGCTGCTTAATTTCCATATTTGTCACGTCATCCTCTTGTGCCGTCCTCTCCACGCCACACGACTCTACTCAAGAGCTGTTTGGGGACAGTTTCCTCCAGTCTTGCCATAAATCATCCTTGAGTGTCACACTTGGCTTCATGCTTGTAAAGTTGTTTACTACTCAGGGGTGGGCGGGGCGGGGCCTTATAGGGGGAATAGACGGTAAAAAGCTGTTACTTTCCGTCACCATCACACTGCTACAGATTCATTAATTCGTAGATGTGAAGATCGTCTGGTGTGATGCAGGTTTTAGTGGCTATAAACCTGACTTATTTTAAATAAAGTGGACGAGGCAAGTAACGACCACATCTCACTCTCGTTAAAAGTACCAAAAAAAAAAAAAAACAGCAAGATACACTGCAGGTAATATCTGCTAGATTTATTATCATAACTTTTTCACATTGTCTTAATTAACGTTACGTGAGAACGACACTAGCTCAGCCAGAGGCGTGAACCAAGTGGGTTAATTACCTGTGCTCAGGTGAGGTTCTCACCTGTAGTGTCAAGAGGTTAATTACTGGTGCTCAGGTGAGGTTCTCACCTCTAGTGTCAAGTGGTTAATTACCTGTGTTCAGGTGAGGTTCTAACCTGTAGTGTCAAGAGGTTAATTACTGGTGCACAGGTGTGATTCTCACCTGCCTGTCTGGTCAAGAGGTAAAGTCTTCAAAGCTGTCGTGTGTCGGCGGTAATATTATTGAAGACTTGTACAGATTATCGCCATGACAATGTCTTGATTATTAGCAAGACATGTGTGCGTTGTACACACACACACACACACACACACACACACACACACACACTTGCGGGTGATTTTTTTATATACAGTATTGGCTTTTATCATGATTTTCACTTATTGGCGAAGATACGAACCTTTCATCATAGTTTATTCAGTATCAATTTACAGTTCATCAATAATCAGAAGGACGTCAGGAATATGTCAGTTTTGTCCACAATGTAAAGGAAAACTTTCTGATGACCCACATAACAAAAACTAAACTCATTATCACGTATTGCTGTTTTACGTTCACCCGCCACCCGTGTGTGTGTGGTGGAGGTGAGAGGTGGAGAGTAAAGGGGCAGGTTATTACCACTGTATACCACTTACATCTCCTACAGTAACCACGTAACTCCCAGTAACTTATTGTTGGGTTGGTTAATGTTCCTCCACGCCCTTGTCCTCCTCCCTGTTTGCTTTCATCGTGTTATTAACTTTACTTCATTCCCACGAGTGTGTATGGGGTCCAGTCTGTGGGCTCCTCCAGTCCCCTCCTCCTCCCACCCTCCCAGGACCCAAACACTCCTGATAACAACGTAATTTAACCAGACTGATACTGTTTGCTTATATTAGAGCCCAGATGATCAGTGCTCTTCTGGGGGAACTTGGTCAGATTTCTTCTTAAATTCACCATCTCGTAGGAAACTCCAGGTAATATATTCATTCTCAGCCTAACTTGAGTGTGTATCGCCTGGCCACTACAGGACAAAACTCTCCAGATTATCACTTTAAAGGGATGAATTAGTTAGATTAAAATGCGATGGATTAGAGGTAGAGTAGTTTTATATTAGGCTCCGGATCTTGGAGATTAGTGGATCGCCTTTAATTCTTAACTGAAGGTTTTATTCGTCAGTTTATTGCTTTCAATCCCAAAAATTCTACTGAGTATATCAACAGTTGCTCTGAGGTGTTGTCTCAAGGGTGTTGCATCTTGAGACTCGATGTCGTGTTGCAATAACCAGGAACTGTAACCCAACCAAGTGAGTCCCCAGCTGAACCACCTGTTGCCGGGAGCGTGAGGGAAACGGGGTGTAAAAATCTCTGTTATATTCTCTTAAAACAGCAGCAGAAATTATCGTGTTGTTTATAACTGGTCGAGGGATATGGCTTGGAAATTTTCTAGTATCTGGGGAACATATTTTCATTTTTATTACATTGGGAAACTTTTTATTTTATTAGTGTTGTATATGTACAGTACAGTGTATGATTTATGGGAAGTCAACCGCCTGTAAATATATATACTCTGGTTATTCCTGTAACTACACTCTATATATATTGTGCAATGGACGTTATGGTCGACAGTTCCTAAAACCAGCTATTTTTCTCGTACTATGATGAAACATAGTCATTAGAGAATTTTCTGTGGCACAATATGCGAAAAACCTCACTTGTTTTCCTTGGAATCTATACACAGGAACATTAAGGTTAGAACCCATCCTGGCACAGTATATAATTAGGGAACTCTCGAGGCCAAATATTCATTGAAGTTCTTTTTACTGTTCTTGTATATTGTGATGCTCACCAGGGTAGACGGGAGTGAGTGCCTGAGGGTTACAGCTCCAGGTTATAGTGAACATAATTTGTGTTGTAACAGACGGAGGAACACAGGCACGGGCAGTTTGTTGTCTTTTTTATACTCGATGCAGCGTCCTACTGTTCTGGATCTTCCTCGTCTCTCTCTTTCCTCAATATTAGATGATTCAACCCCAACACCTCGTCCTTAGTTGTATAGTAAACATGTTATCGTCACCCCCGTCACCCTCAGTACACATTTACCACTAACACACCTCAATACATTCCTTCACGAGTCCTCTTACCTCGTCGTGTTATATAAAGTTATTCTCAGGGCTGACAAAGAGACTTATGATTCTAGCATTTAAAGTAGTGTTTATTTCCAGACAATTTCATATTAACTCACGCCGAATATCTTCATCGCTGGACCGTGTTCCTCGTTGTCAGTCTAGATCACAGATGTTTGTTTCGTTCCGGTCATAGTCCACGAGTAACTAGACGCCCTGTGCTTGTATGTGCATTAAATTCTAACACACGGTACATCCTCGTTCGTCTTCACCACTCCCACGACCCTACTGTAAAGCTTGCTCAACTCCTAAATAAACACAGACTTCCAAATCATCAACGTCATTCTTTTTATGTCTATTATCTGAAGTTCTGTCGTCTTAGAGAGCGTGTCCCTGGCCAGGCGTGCGGCAGTGGGATGCATGTGACGGCGCGCACCACCATGGTATGTTTCGAGCTGGGTCAGGGATATGTTGTGTAAAAATCTGTTCCTCATTCCTGGATCCTCCGCGGCGACGCGTTGATTTAGTGATAAGACATTGCACAGAACGACATACAGTCACTCACCATCTACCTGGTATTTTACTTCACACACGACCAAAGTCTCGTAAATTTTCATTGTAGACACACGACCCTCGCAGAAATATCACTAGACCACGACCCCCCGTAGAAATATCGCTGGGGACCTACGACCCTCGCAGAAATATCGCTGAGGACCCACGACCCTCGCAGAAATATGGCTCCCCTTCTCCCAAGTCGTTACAATAGCTAATTTGGGTAGACGCGCACTAATATATGGGCGACCATTTTGCGCGCGTAATGCAGTGGAAGAGGCGCCATAACTCAACTATCTCCCCCTAAATGGCCAACAACTGGGGACGTCCCACGCTCACCACCACCACCACCACTTCTACCACCACCACTTCCACCACCACTACCACCATTACCCTGTACCCACTACCACACTATCTCCCACTCTCCTGTACCCACCACTACCACACTATCTCCCACTCTCCTGTACCCACTACCACACTATCTCCCACTCTCCTGTACCCACTACCACACTATCTCCCACTCTCCTGTACCCACTACCACATCACCCTCCTGTAGTCGAGAGGGTTGAAAATAACACCACATTCAACCACATTAAAATTCATATCCCTGCTGGTCACCCTCACCCATCACTCTCTCCACATAATAAAGGTGTGTGTGTGTGTGTGTGTGTGTGTGTGTGTGTGTGTGTGTGTGTGTGTGTGTGTGTGTGTTGATAAACCCACAAGTGATTCCTGCGAGTTTGTGTAATAAGTATTGGCTGTCCAGATCATATACTGATTAGTGCCCTAAATTAACTATTTTAACTAAGAATTAACCTAAGTAACTTTATCTAACCCAATCTAACCTAACCTGACCTATCATAACCTAAGCTGACCTAACCTAATCTAACCTATAACCTAACCTAACCTATAACCTAACCTAACCCCTACAGGTAGTGTTAGGGTGTTTAATCATCAGGTGAAATAAGGTGGGGGTACCTAGCCTTCACGTGATCTAAGAATGTTAAGTATTTCCCAGTGAGGAGAGTCTTGGCTGGGGTGTCCTGTGTTGACTCGACCCCCTCACACACCCATCCCCTCCCGAGTCTTCCTTCCCTCCCGTTCCCTTTTCTTCCCCTTTCCCTCATTTTCCCCCTTCCATTGTACTTCATTTTCTTTCCTTATCCACGTTTTTGGCCCTTCCTTTCTCTTCCTTTCTTTTCCATCCCTTGTTTGTTGCTCATCCTTTCCTTTCCAACCCCTGTTTCGTGCCCTTCCTTTATTTTTCCTTTCCTTGTTTCTTCTTTCTTTTCTTTTCCCTTCCCCGTTCCATTCTCTCCCTATCTTTTATGTCTCTTAATTTCTCTTTGAAAGTGATTAGTGAATTTACTATTAAAACACAGAAATACATTTTACTTGTTAGAGACGAGAGAGAGGGCAGGTGAGGACCCCGCCGCCCAGTCACTGTTGGTAATGGGGTGAATTCTCTAGAGATAAGGGAAATTAGATACGGGTCATCTACGGGGGCGCGCGTCGATCTATAGGGGGTCGAGTGTCCTCTCTTTGGGGAATGGGGGTTGGGGTGCTGCCGGTGGTGATAGGTTTTGATGGCGGTGGTGATGTTATTGTTGAGATAGATCCCGTTACTGCTGTGATTGATCCCGTTACTGCTGTGATTGATCCTGTTACTGCTGTGATGGAGCCTGTTGCTGCTGTGATGGAGCCTGTTGCTGCTGCGATGGATCCTGTTGCTGCTGTGGATGATAAAGCACTGTGTTAAGGATGCTGTGGACGCCGATGGAACTCCTGCTGGTGTCGCCGACGCTGGAACTCTTAACTCTTAGCTCCGGATGATGAGGGAGGGAGCGTCGGACTCTCAGCTTGGGCTATCAAAGTGGAGGGGAGGGGGGCGACTTTCATGGCTGACAACTATTAAGAGGATGAGAGGGGGACCCGCCCTGAGAGGGAGAGAGAGGGGGGGGGAGAGGAGAGGGATGGGGGCAGTTTCAATGTGGATTATCCATCACACCGCTTGTATCCCCCTCTTTATAATCCACCCCCTCCATCCTCTCCCCTCTCTCTCCCTTCCTCACCAACGGCTCATTGTCACAACTTGCAACAGCCGATTCACAAGACAGCGTTTCAGCTCATCATTATTGTACCCTTTTCCTCCTACTTGTGGGAAAAAGAAATTATCTTGTTTTCCTGAGCCTCAGAGCCAACCTACAATGTGTTGAGAGTTGTCATTTTATGCTCTCTTGGCTTATTTGTATATAATTTTCCCGCCAGGGCTCTTCAGACTAGATACTACGACGTCAAATGAGGAACTGTAAATTTCGCATCGAATAACTTTATAAGGGAAAGCTGTAAACACATAGATTAATACTTCAGCAATATTTTCAATAAAGTGTAGCAGCTTACATATATTTTCAGAGAAATATTTTTAATTTTTTTTTTATACAGCAAAATATGGTTACTGTAACAAACATTTAAGTGGGAAAATGCAGTGAATTGAGGTTTCCAGCTTTCAAAGAGTTCATAACAGCTGGCAGTGATTGGTTAGGCCTAGCACCGACTTACAGATCGCTGGGAGGAGCAACGTGGCATCTGGTACAACTTCATTAATAACTCCAGAAGAGATTGTCCCACAGAACTAAGAGTAGACACTCGTAGTTGCATCACCACCACCGTTCAGAGTAGCGACAACAGTAGCAGAAGTAGCAACAGAAACAATGCACCCTGAGCAGCAACAGGATAACGTTACATCAACAGTACAAGACAAGGATACGTTACAGCTGCAGCAACAGAGGTACCAAGAGTAAAAGCAGCATCAGGACATGCAACAAGAGCAATAACAGCAACAACATATGAGAAATAAGAGGACAGGGGGGGCAACAGGGTGGAAGTGGGGTGCCTGAGGGCAAGGGGGCTGGGGGTGATCCGGGGGGCAGGGGTGCCACGTTTGCACCAGGGGCAGGAAGGGAGTGTCAAGGGTGCACAGGAGCAGGAGGAGGGTTGCCAAAGGTCCCAGGGGCATGAGGTACCGAGGGGTACACTAGGGCAAGGGTGCTGATGGGTACACTATGGCAAGGGTGCTGAGGGGTACACTATGGCAAGGGGTGCTGAGGGGTACACTATGGCAAGGGGTGCTGAGGGGTACACTAGGGCAAGGGGTGCTGAGGGGTACACTAGGGCAAGGGGTGTTGAGGGGTACACTATGGCAAGGGGTGCTGAGGAGTACACTAGGGCAAGGGGTGCTGAGGGGTACACTAGGGCAGGGAGGGAGTGGTGTGGAACTGGGGTGCCCGGGGCCAGGCTCGAGGCGCCTGACTGGGTTGGCCTCTACAAAGGGCGGCCAATTACTGCGAAGGGGACTGTGATAATGCCCGCCCCTCCCTGCCCCGCCCGCCCTTCCACCCCCCTGCCCCGTCCTCTCCTTCCTGCCCCGCACTGCCCCTCGTCACCCTGTTCTAATCCTCAGTAGCAACACTCCTCAGTAGCAACACTCCTCAGTAGCAACATTCCTCAGCAGCAGCAACACTCCTCAATAGCAACACACCCTCAGTAACAACACCCCTTCAGTATCAAAACTCCTTAGTAGCACCACTCCCTCGGTAGCAACACACCCTCAGTAGCAACACTCCCTCAGTAGCAACACTCCCTCAGTAGCAACACACCCTCAGTAGCACCACTCCCTCAGTAGCACCACTCCCTCAGTAGCAACACTCTTCAGTAGCTGCATCTCACTCCACATGGGATTGTTCACCCCTTTTAAATTAAAGAATAGTTTTAGAGACAGTAAATGAAGTTGTGTGGTAAATGACAATACTGTACAGTTGTTCTTGATGGTAGAGAGTGAGATGATGGTAAACTGTGTTCATCTTGTGGTTGTTCTTCATATTATGTGGGTAGTGTTTGCTGTACAGTGAGCGACAAAATTCTCTTCCCAGTTTTGCATGAATGTATGGTAGAATACGCGACCCTCGGACACACACACTGGGAAATTTTAGAACAGTTGGCGAGACTGGAAAGACTGATCCTAAGCTTCCAGGTGCATAATTTCACTGAGAAATATAGTAATGTACTGTGAAATCTATCATTTACCACATTAACCACTTTTGAATGTTTTGTGCCATGGTCTGCTTCATGTTTCATATATAGAAAGAAAGCGTCTTGTCTTAAACGAATTTCTCTACCAAGTCAGGCATTTGAACTGTTCATATGTTGTGTTGTGGAGGTAAATATTTGATTATGTTTTGCGACCTTTAAGAAATCATCAGACAAAACTGAGAAGATAGTTTTTTGTCTCTCACAGTACATGGAAACTTTTTGTTGCTTGTTAAGTAAAACGTAATAACTATTTACTGGTGCCATTAGTATTAGTCACTAAATCTTGTCTCCCCAACACAGGAACCTTGGTCTACAGGGCTACGAGGTGTGGCGGAACCCCCAGATCTACCTGATCGGTGCTCAGCCGCTGTGCACCCAAATTCCTGGCCTGTCCCTAGGCCAGACCAAGCTATGCCAGTTGTACCAGGACCACATGGGCAGCGTGGGTCGTGGTGCCAAGACTGGGATCCATGAGTGTCAGTGGCAGTTCAGGCACCGACGCTGGAACTGTTCCACCGTCGATGACTCCACAGTCTTCGGACCAGTTCTTCAGATACGTAAGTTTTCTTGCTGTAGACAGATGGGAACTGTTTTATGAGCCAGCTTAAGTTGTTGGTACTCATTTTATCTGACTGTGTGTGTGGGAACTTTCTTATTGTGTCACCTTAAGATATAGGGAGCACTTACTGTTAGCTGTGAATATTTACAGTGTAGATAGATTTTGATAACCATTATTTTCCAGCTTTATTGATCACAGTTATGGCTCTCGTTCAATGTAAATATTTAGGCATTGGCACAGGTCACCATTAGTTGGTACCAGGTCAGCCAGGTCACTATAAAAGGAAGAGTTGCATTAGGTTATAAAGATTTCAGGGTGATACAGTTGAGGCATTGTCTAGTATGTTTCTATGTCCTAAACAATAGTAAAATGTTATTTGTCAAAAATATTCTTGTTATGTTTGTTGAGCCTCACATGGTATGTTTCACACACCCTTAATATTAGTGCACAAACTTAATTATTATTACTATCTTTTATGGGGGGGGGGAGGGAGCAAAATTGCACACAATAAATGAGTTCAGAGCATTGAAATGTTTTTCTATCGGTCTTTGTGTACAGAATAATGCAATTTGGAATATAAATTACCCCTGAATGAACTTTATATACTGTTATCCTTTTGAAAGATATATATAAAACATTGTGTTTGTTTTCATACTTGCACGTGTTTCTGAATTAATTAAATAAAATTTATTTATTGACAACACAACAGCACGTCATCAGGAAACTAAATTACTTGTCAATTATTATATGAATTTCTGTAAAGCAACTTGCCATGCAGCACATAACTATTCTGTCTATCTTATGGTCGTCAGCGAGCCGAGAGGCAGCATTTGCTCATGCCATAGCATCAGCGGGTGTAGTGCACAGTGTATCGCGGGCGTGTAGGGACGGCCAGCTCACCACCTGCGGCTGCTCCCCCGCCAGGAGACCCAAGGACCTCAACAAGGAATGGATCTGGGGCGGCTGTGGTGACAATGTGGAGTATGGATACAAGTAAGTGTACACTCCACTCAACTGATTAGTCAACAAGGATGATATTGCCCACTTAATTATTTCTTCTGGCATGACCCACAGTGGTTTAATGGTAACAGTATACTGGTTAATGCCTTTTACTCAGGTAAGTGGGCTAATTTATTTTCTCGATTGGTATAGCATAGCGGGACACACAAGAGGGCCTGGTGTGACATTACAGAGGGCCTGGTAGGACATTAAAGATGGCCTGATAAGACATACAAGAGGGCCTGGTGGGACACACAAGAGGGTCTGGTTGGAAACACAAGTAATATTCTAGAAGGATTAACAATGTACATTATGTAGGTAGTCGTGATTAGACTGGTCAAGTAAGTGTCAAAAACAGACTGGTGGGTAATGTTTGGTAAGACTGGCAGACCGTATTACAGTATTTACCTTCTACTGGATGTGATCAGGTTAATTTGCTATCTTGTAATGTGACAGCCTTCATCCGGTGCATCGTTCTTAAACACATTTTTCCTCTTCAGATTCGCTCAGGGATTCGTTGATGTTCGTGAACGCGAGAAGAACTACAAGCGTGGGTCTTTGAAGCAAGGCCGCCAGCTGATGAATCTTCACAACAATGAGGCAGGCAGGAGGGTAAATACCACTCTTTTGTTTACTAAGTGTTAAGATGTTCACAAAACCATCTTTTTTTAACGTATTAAAACCACCTGTAAGTAATACAAAACAAAAAACAAATATTAAAACCAAGAGAAAAAGCATAGATTATTTTTTTTTTTTAACCATTGGCTTAAATCGGCGAACCCTGCTAAGGCTATGTGCATTTTGGGGTAACACAGAGTTATCGCTTTCATAATTTTTTAATGTTGTTGGACTAAAGCATTTTTCAGCCACATGGACAGTTTTTCGGTTGGTGGTGATGAACGGAGGCCAATAAATTATATTTTGCAATCTGAATTGACAGCTGTAAAACATGAACTGATATATCTAGCAACAAATGACGAAGGAAACATGTACTCGTTGGGGGACCCCTCCAACCTCTACCAACCACCTGCAAAGATTGGTAGGGTCTGGGGGATTTTTTGACAAGGTTTGGAGAATTGATGAGGTGCGGGGAATTGGTAGGAGTTGTGACATTGGTAGGGTGTATATATATAACCACACACACAGTACTGTAGAAAGAGGTGACTGTACATATAGAAGGCATTACACATATTTAACTGTGATAAGGATGAGACTCTATTTTTTTCTTTGAATCAAACTAGTTTACATCTGCTTAGGCATTCAGTTAATTAAACCCTAAGTGCTGGAAGGATCATTACCCCCAGTGCTGTACAGTAGAGTCTTAATAATAAAATCTTTAAAGGAAATGTTATTGACCACAAATAGTTCCAAACTCATATACTGTACCTCTTGGAGTAACCCAATTTTGACATAAAGAGAAAAATAATTCTATTCCTGTAATCCCACATCGTATAGTGGTGAGTTAATTAAGCTGAAGAGAAATTGTAAAAGGTAAACATTAATATAAATCTGTACTATTTTCTCCCTCCTGTGTCTATCTGTCATACAACTAATCTCCGTCTTCCAGGCTGTCATCCGTAAGACCCGTGTAAACTGCAAGTGCCATGGAGTGTCAGGATCCTGCTCTCTCATTACATGTTGGCAACAATTGGCACCATTTAGGGAGATTGGTCAGTCTATCAATGTATTTTCATCAAGTTAAAAAGTATTATGTTTAGTCATACATACATTCCTTTTATTTCCAATTGAGCGTAAAATATACACAAGTTATTGTTGCAGAAGACAGTTTACACCCGTTTTGTATTTATATTTTAGGAAGAACAAAACTTGACAGATTTCTTCAGCAACTATATAATAAAAGTATCAGTATACAGTATGTGTATCTTTCTGGTACTAGTGGTAATGTGGATATATGTCTGTAGAAAAAAGTATTTTAGTAAGATCTTTGGAGAATCTTATATACATAGTTTTATTTCCAAGATGCTGTTAATCTATTGTGCATAATTCTGTGGTATGCTTATTTAATAGAATTTACAACTAGTATTGCATATATTCCTTTCCATAGGTGATCTGCTGAAGGATAAATATGATGGTGCAACTGAAGTCAAGATCAACCGTCGTGGTAAACTGCAAGTGAAGCATCCCCAGTTCAATGTACCCACAGGAGAGGACCTGGTGTATCTTCATGAGTCACCTGATTACTGCAATAGAAATACTACTGTTGGTTCTCTTGGTAAGTCACCCTTTACCGTGCACAGAACAAGACCAGATAAGAATCATATTTTATAAAAAAAATAAATATGTTTTCAGACCTTATAGTAAGAGAGAGAATTTGAATGTCAGAATAATGGTAAAATTATCATAAAGAACAAGTACATATGTCCAAACGGGATGAAGAAACTGTATTAATTGAGACTGAATGTGAAAAAGACCTGGGTGTGTATGTAGACAATGATTTGAAGTTCTCAGGCCATAGGGGAACGATTTTCCTAGGGACGAAAATAGATGAAGCTGGATCCTTGCTGGTTGACAAACTAGAACAAGTTGGGAAAGAGATCTTTGCTAAGACTGAGGAAGTAGCCGATAGAATGGAGGTGGTAGTGAAGAGGAGTTATGATCAGGCCCAAGCAGGGCCACGGGAGGTGGCGGAGAGTGATGCAGGATCCGAACAAGTTCTACAGCAGCTAGGGACTCTGAAGAAGTGTGTCGAAGAGATGGTAACTAGCAGACCTACTGTTAGGGGAGAGGAGAAACAGCGGGAACATTTCGCGTGCAGAAACAACGTAATAGTTTATGGAGAGCCAGTTGGAGGAGGCTGAAAGTAGGAAAACACACCATAAGTTGCAGTTTGAGAATATTTATATAGAGGTTCTGAATATGTCATCCCCCTCATCCCCCCTCTGGATGTGAGGAAGCAGGGACAAAAGCAGGAGGACAAGCCTCGCCCCCTCAGGATCACTCTAGTGAGTGAGGTGAAGAAATGGGAAATTATTCAGCAAGCAAAAAAATTAGCAAAGAGCGAGGCATTTCGGAATGTATTCATTCACCCAGATTGCACGGTAATGCAGAAGGAACAGCACAAGAAGCTCCTGCAGGACTTGAAGCAAAGGAAGGAGGAGTCAAGGAGGAAGAGGGACGGGTGTACATGGGTTATATCTAGGGGGAGGGTAGTGGAAGCAAGAGCGCCAGCACAGAGCCAGGGGGCAGCAGTACACCCTTCACCCGCTCTACCTCCCACCCAGGGGGAGGAACCATCTCTACCTCCTACCCAGGAGGAGGCGAGCGCCGTGTAAGCAATGTTATTTCTAACCACACCCTGCAGCTGCTGAGAATGGAAGGAGGCCGGAGTTACTACCAAGAACAGAGACATGTTACCGAGAGCAAATTCCGGCTTGAATGTCATGTATACTAATACTGACTATACTGTAGAACCGGTGAGCCTTACCAGCATAGTATGTAAAGTATTTGAGAACGTAATAAGAGATGACATGATGGAACAGCTACTACTAAACAACCTTGTAAGGGATTGCCAACACGGTTTTATGCCGGGGCGCTCCTGCTTAACACAATTACTCAAGGTACCGGGTACTGGATATTTGGATCCAAATTCTGGAACATGGTAGTAATATTGACAATATATACCTATATGCCAAGGCTTTCGACAGTGTACCCCACGAAAGGCTGAAAATTAAACTGGAAGGGTACGGAATTCGGGGAAATGTCCTCGCGTGGATCTGAGACTTTCTCCATGACCGCAAGCAGTGTGTGGTGATTAATGGCACTAAATCATCATGTGTACTCGTCACAAGCGGGGTACTACAGGACAGTGTATTGGGCCCACTGTTGTATGTTTGCTTCATAAATGACATGCATGACGCTGTACACTCATCCATACAAATGTTTGTGGATGACGCCAAGTTATTTACGGAAATTAAGAACCAAGCAGACTATGAAGAGCTGCAGAAGGATCTCTGTGAGCTCCAAGAATGGTCGAAGAAATAGCTGCCAAGATTCAATGTCATGAAGTGTAAGAGGCTGCACCTGGGACATACCAACGGTAAGGAGGTGTATCATATGTCCCAACGGGATGAAGAAACTGCATTAATTGAGACTGAATGTGAAAAGGACCTAGGTTTGCGAGAAAAAGGTGAATCAAGCAACTAAATTATTAAGTCTTAGAAGAATGTCGTGCAGATATCTAGATGGTCCGTCCCTCGTAATGATCTTCGAGACCGAGGTGCTTCCCCTCCAGGAGTTCTGTCACCACACCTGGTCCCCGAGATATTTACTAGGGACTGTTAGTTGATTGAAAATGTCCAAAGGACACCTCAGCTACCCTGAGAGATTTGTGGCATAGTGCAAACAATTTATTCTAGGATTAAAATGCTATTGGACAGATATTATTTGATGATGAGAAACCTTTGAGGAGAAAATTGTTTTGTTTTAATGAATTCCTTCTCAAAACAGCTGTTTCCTTTTTCTAATAATGTATGATTTACAGGAACGCAAGACCGTATATGCAACAAGACTTCGCAAGGTATGGATGGATGTGGGCTGCTATGCTGTGGACGTGGTTACAACTCCCAGAAAGTTACTGTGAGGGAAAGGTGCCACTGCAAGTTCCACTGGTGCTGTTTTGTTGAATGTAAAACATGTGTTCGAGTTGTTGATCTCCACTCATGCAAATAATGATGGAAGATAACACTTTTATCAACCGGTAAACGTTTGTGCAAAAGTGATAAACAATCATCACAATGCATTAAGTTTTGAGAACTCATCTTCATTGAATAAAGTGAAATAAAGTGAAAAGAGGGATTTGGAATACAATATATTTTTTGCACAATATATGGTCCTTGAAAGTTTTCAACTTTTGTAAACATTAATTATTAAAGCTGTGTGAAGTTGAATGACACTTTACACATAATTCAGGCTTTAAGATAGTAATTGGAAAATAACTTAGTTATAGCCTTGAATAGTGCTAAGAACTAAGTAGGTGTAAAGTACTTAACATATACAGTGCAGTTTTTTTGAACTGAAGCACACTCCTGAGTACAGATATTAATTTGTAAATAATACAGAGGAATGAAGGGGTTATCATATTAATATATATTAAAAATAGTGAAAACAATACTCATATCAGGTCTCCAATAATGTATAGTTGATATGCCAGAGCATGGCAAGTACCCAGCAATATTAAGAGCATCAGACTTAGCCTCAGTGTTAAGATTGTTCATAAACCACAAGCCTATGGTGTTGTGTTTTACCACTATTTTGAACATTATTAGCCATAGAAGAAGAGTTTTATTGGTGGTCGTAAAAGAACTATAACAATATCAAAATTAACCAGTTGTAAAGTTACTAATTATATTGTAGGAAATGAGCAGCTTTTGATGTTCCATTATGTGCAATGTTTAATACAGAAGGAGTGGTTCTATGAAAATACCTAGAAGATAGAACATGCCTCCTGTCCTTTACATGAATCATTAAGTGGAAATGGTTCATATATTATAAACAAGTGTACAGTACATTTATGTAGTGAACTTCACATATATTTACCTCTTGTAGTAGTCATGAAGGTGTCCAGTGGCAGCTTTTATCTATTGTACAGTGTGTTTGTAAATACCGTATATAGAGTAGTATATTGTAGTAGGAGATCTTTTAAATGTCTGTTAGTTTACCAGTTAATAATGTGTGTAGAAGCTGCTATACCTAAGTAGTACAGCTCCTGAGTGGGCTTGGATCTGCTTGTCATTATCATCAGTCCCCTTTATGCTGAGACTTTAGGTGTTTTATCACCTGCCAAATACCACCCTACCATGAATACAAGTTGCCATATAGCTGTAGAAAGGTGCCATATGAGTACTTAACAATGGCTGACTCAACTGGTACACTAGACATGGCAACATGAAAGAGTCAGTCAGCTGTCCTGTAGTAAGGTTAAAGTAAGGCCTCCAATTTAGGAAGATGTGAAAGATTCTTTTAACTATGTAGAATATTTAGTGAGAATATTTAGACAATTCCTTGTTGTGTACCTCACTTATCAGGGAATATAATTTGTATATTGATTATTACATCAAGCTTAAAATGATCAAATTAATGTTATCATTTTATACAATGTGTCACTTCAAACACTACAGTAAACCCCTGTTAAACTGGACTGACTGGGGTGAAAACTAATACCATTATACAAACATCCATGTTCCATTAAGCAAGAAATTAAATGTACTGCCAGAAAAATATTGATGTGCTAAAACATAAGAATGTATGAGCTAACTTGTTCACACCCTTAGAGGGCTCGGGGTAAAGGGTGAAGGGGTCGGGTAGATTATGTCTTGGGGAGGATCAGGTGGTATCTCCTTGGGTGAGTAAAAAATGCTGTGGTGTTTCAAGTTTATCAGCAGTCAGTGCACTAGTTTTAGACTTGTATTACTATAACCACTACCTAGTATACTCATCATTGTGTTGAAATAGTGGGTACCTAACATACACACAAAAAACATAAACAAAGAAACAAATACTGTAGCATTAAAGCATACAAGTTCTAGAGTGGAGAGAATAAATGAAACCAACTAGGTCAAGAGGTGGAGGGAAGGACAGCCAAGGGTAGGCCAAGAATGACACAGGGTGAGGTTTTAAGAAATGGCTATTAGAATTAGAAACCTGGCAAGAGACCTGCAGCGTGGAGAGCTGCCATCGGGTAACCATGGCTAACCCACACAAATGTGGAAAATGGCCATATAACGATGAGGATTACAGTATAATAGCATGCCACAATGATGACACACACACACACACACACACACACACATGAGAAAACAATGGCATGAGATATGGAAGGAGAATGAAAAACTATGAACAGATGACTGTTAAAACCCTCAACCTATTACAGTACATCATCTTTCAGTTTGTCTATGCCATGTGGTGTCTACCCTCATGCGGGTTTGAATGACAGGGATGCTTAGTTGCGTTGCGTCTGGCAAGTTCCAACTGACCACGTGGTCAGTAGCTCACGGTCTCTCCCCATTAACAGTTTTTACTGACTAATGATATTGAACCAGACGAAAAGATATCCGTTGTTATGAATATCCAATACTATAATAAGAAGTCCATTATTAAGAGGGTTTACTGTACTATATAGAGTACACGGTAAAGACCACTTAAAATATCATGTAGAATAATGATTAATATATAAACAAATGAAAAGTTTCAAACTTCTCATATACTGTAAGAAATATCAGAAGTATAGGCAACTATCATTTAGCAGTATTCTATTGCAAATTCTAAAGTTTCTACAATGAAGAATGTATGTTGGCAGTCAGGATCATTCCTTATGGTCTTTCTCACTTGGAGGCATTACATTGTACAGTCCTGTATACTCTTTTCTCTTTAAGAATTAAGAGTACCTCAAGTAGGAAGAATTTAATTATAATAAAAATGTAATCTTTGACATTCAGTACCACATGACTCATAATATCAAGACCATCTTTGCGACATTGTATATAAACAAATTAATTTATTAGTTAGTACTGTGCTGCTGACAGACTCAAGCCATTGGGTTGGTGCAGATGAAAGGTCACTAACTTAATCTTTTCAAATACTGTGTCTGTATGATGAGTGCTGTACAGCTTTATGGACAAGGAAACAAAGATGCTACTGAATGTATTACAACTTCAAATCATATGGGAGTTAGCTGGCTTATAAAGTTATTTTGTACAGTAAATATTCAACTATTGTTTTGAGGGGATAAATATAAGCATTCATAAAAGCTATATAATTATTATAACATTGACATTTTAGATCTAAGTTAAACATGATGAACACAAGTCAGTGTGACATATAAAACAGAAACACTTGGCAAACCTCCTTTCTTTGAGTATACATAATGCTTCCTGGAGGTGGGAGAGTGTATGAAGAATTAAAGATTTGGGCCATTTTTTTTTTACAAACCTGTGATTATTACAAGACTCAAATACAACCTTTATATTTTTCATTTATGTTTTATGTAATAGCATTATTTATTGTTTAAATTAACTTAATGTCATCAAAGAAACATATTCCATTTTACAAAAATGTAATATGACTATAATTGAACCTGAAAGAAGACACCCTTCTCTCATACACCAGTCTACTTCCAAAGCACATCTCTACCTCTGACTCTATACCTATTTCTAACCTCTCACACCCACCTCCCCATTCTTGTGATCCCCTGCAACACTTCTCTACCCCAAATGCTTCCTCCCCATCTATACATGTTACTTTTCTTACCCCTAAACACTCCCTTTCCAATACCAAAAGACCCCCTTTTCTCTGGCCTTACACACATTGCTTCTTACAGTTCTCCTCTTAAGCATGTTTCTCTCCACTCCCAGACATTCTTCTTCTCGCCCCCCTGACACCACTCTTGTAACTGTCGGTCATCTATACTCCTCTCCTTTCCTCCAGTCACCACACAATCTTCACGCACCAATCTTCTCACCTCCATATACTCTTCCCTTATTTACTGTTGCACCCTTTCTTCTTCCCTGCCTTTCTGTTCCCCATTCTCAAGCTATCTCTTTTGCCTCCACAGAAATTTCTCCTGATCCTACTAACCTCTTCCCATTTCCACTCATATGACTCTTGCATCCCAAATGCTTAATGTCTACCCCACACATCATTATCTCATTCACACATCTCCATTCATCTTCCAACCACCACTTGCTTTCTCTCTATTCCTCATATACTGTCGTCTTTTCAACCCCTCCCTATACACTCCTTTCCTACACTGTAATTAAACTCCTCTTGTGACTCCTATACATCCATCTCCCTATACTCCTACATGTCACTTGATGGTTTGTGTCAACAGAGGCCACATGTTCCAACTTAGCCACCGTACCCTCAGCGTTAGTTATTATTAGGTCCATTGATTTTGGGTGTTAGTTCCTCTTTATAGTGAGTTATCTTGAACATGTTGGAATTGAAAATTATCTCTCACAGTTTCTACAAAGAAAAAGAGTAGCAGGATTATTAAGGTCATTTGGTGTAATTTCATTCTTCCAGTTGATGTCACCATAGTTGAAATCCCCTATTACAAGGAGGTGGCTAGAGTTGAGAGATCAAGCTTAATGATATTTACTCACTAAGCAAGATAAAACTTCTATATTGATTCGTGACATCTTGATGCCTTTCCCCGCAGTCTGTTCTATATCAAATTGTTGACAATAACCAGCTGATAAACAGTTTTCTCCTCTCATTTCACAGCTGAACTTAACTGTACCTTAATAAATAATGCGAATGGAAAAAAAAATTATTGTTTTATTTTAACCTATACAGAATAATGTTTCATGGGGGTTATAATTTTTGCACCCTTATGATTTCACTATATACAGCAATTTAAGTTAAAGTAGTGTGATACTGAAGGAAACAAGACTAAGAGATGGAGCTTTGTTCCTGATGTTTTGTCACTAGATTTTTTCAAAGGAATGAATACACTTTACATACTTCACTAAGTCCGTTACTTAACTATGATTGGTGGACTATTCCTTTAACATCAGTTCGTAGTGTTTTCCTGTTACCTTCTAAAGTTGCATCTCCTGTAACAAATATAAAACTACTTCAGGCCTCAGGCTCATGGCCCAGGGGTCTCTGAGGCAGTGGACACCCTAGGAACCCTCCCAGGAGCGGCGGCGCCACCCGGGTGCCCCCCAGTTGCGACGGTGCCCCCAGGGGCCCTTGCAACATCAGTGGCAGTGGCATCCTCAGGTGCATTTTCAGGAGCGACAGCACCCCTGGGACCCTGACTGGAGCAGCGGAGCCTGCAAGGACCTACCCAGGGGCAGTGCAGCCAACAGGGATCATCCCAGTGACCGTTTCAGGGGGAGTAGCTCACCGAGAACCCTGGGGGCACCGTCACCACTGGGGGGTACCCTGGGAGCGTCGCAGCACCTGGGAGGGTTCCTGATATGTCCACCACCCCTGAGATGGCCCCTGGGAGCGCCAGGCCTGTAGGACCCATGGGTGCAGTAGTTTATGCTCAATTTATTACTCTGCGTGATGCAACGTTAAATAAATACACCGCCCATCACATTTCCACCAGTATCATTGCATTCTGAAGCAGGTAACGGAGAATAATATCAACAGGAAAACATAAGTTGGGGTGTTGTGCTGACTGACTGCTCTCTTCTCCTATTGGCTGTAATTTGGCGGGTTAAAAGTCCACCAATCATAGTTAAGTAAGGGACTTCGGGAAGTATGTAATGTTCGAAAATATGACACAACAAACAAGCATGCCATAGGGCCCCCTGGGACCCCTAGGAAGGTTTCTCGGGGCACTAACGTCAATGGAAAGGTCTCTGGGGGTGTGGATGCCCTGGGAGTGTCCTTTGAGGTGCCGCCGTCCTTGGGAGGATCTCTGGGATGGTCCCTGGAGACTATGCTGCCCCTGGAATGGTCCCTGTGCACTCCTCTTCGAATGAAAGTGACCCCAGGAGCAACACCGACCCTGGGAGGGACCCCTGGGGGCGCCACCGACTCTGCCATGGTTCTCGGTGAGCTACTCCCTCTGAAACGGTCACTGGGATGCTCTCTGGGGACTGTGCTGCCCCTGGGTAGGTCCTTGTAGGCTCCGCTGCTCCAGTCATGGTCCCAGGGGTGCCGTCGCTCCTGAAGATGCACCTGAGGATGCCACTGATGTTGCAAGCGCCCCTGGGGGCACCGTCACCACGGGGGGCACCCTGGGAGCGTCGCGGCACCTGGGGGGTTCCTCATATGTCCACCACCCCTGAGATGGCCCCTGGGAACGTTAGGCCTGTAGGACCCATGGGTGCAGTAGTTTCTGCTCAATTTATTACTCTGGGAGATGCAAAGTTAAATAAATACACCGCCCATCACATTTCCACCAGTATCATTGCATTCTGAAGCAGGTAACGGAGAATAATATGAACAGGAAAACATAAGTTAGGGTGTTGTGCTGACTGACTGCTCTCTTCTCCTATTGGCTGTAATTTGGCGGGTTAAAAGTCCACCAATCACAGTTAAGTAAGGGACTTCGGGAAGTATGTAATGTTCGAAAATATGACACAACAAACAAGCATGCCATAGGGCCCCCTGGGACCCCTACGAAGGTCTCTGAAGCCACTAACGTCCCTGGAAAGGTCTCTGGGGGTGTGGATGCCCCTGGGAGTGTCCTTTGAGGTGCCGCCGTCCCTGGGAGGGTCTCTGGGATGGTCCCTGGAGGTTATGCTGCCCCTGGAATGGTCCCTGTGCACTCCTCTTCCAATGAAAGGGACTCCAGATGCACCACCGCCCCTGGGAGGGTCCCAAGGGGCGCCACTGACCCTGGGAGGGTTTCCAGTGCACCACTGCCCCTGGAACGGTTTCTGGGATGGTCCCTGGGGGCTGCGCTGCCCCTGGGTAGGTCCGTGCAGGCTCTGCTGCTCCAGTCAGGGACCCTCCTAGGGT